TCGGAATTCTTCTTTCTTTTTCTTTTCTTCTCTCTTTTTCCTTCTCTTGACTGTCATTAGTTTCAAAGGAAAGTGAGTACAGTTTCTAGCTTCCCGACTGCTGTTAGGTTGTTCTGTTCTTGTCTTTGTTCTTTCAGAACTGAACCAAACTTTTGAACAAATGGACTTAACAGACGTTTACAGAGTGTTCTACCCCACAACATCAGAACATACATTCTTTTCGGTTGCACATGGGTCACTGTCCAACACAGACCACATACTAGCTCATAGAACATGTTTAAGTAAATGCAAAGGAATTGAAGTTATCCCGTGTATATTATCAGACCATAGTGTAATTAAACTGGAGATCAATAGCATAAGAAACCGCAAGAACTTTACAAACACATGGAAAATGAAAACACTCTCCTGAACAAACAATGGGTCACAGAGGAAATTAAAGAAGAAATTAGACAGTCTTTACAATTAAATGATAATGCCAGTACAACATACAGGAATTTATGGGACACAATGAAAGCAGTTCTACAAGGGAAATTCACAGCATTGAATGCCCACACTAGGAAAACAGAGTGAGCTCAAATAACCTAATTTTGAATCTTAAGCTCCTAGAAAAAGAAGAGCAAAAAAAGAAAAAAGGAGAGCAAGACAAACCCAAAGCTCATTACAAAGGAGGAAATTACAAAGATCAGAGCAAAAATCAATGCAGTGGAGACTAAGAGAATGATACAAAAAAATCAACGAATCAAAAAGCTGGTTTTTCGAAAGAATAAAATAGATAAACCCTTAGCCAACCTTATCAAAAAAAGGAGTGAAAAGGCTCAAATTGATGCAATTAGGAATGAAAAAGATGAAGTCACAACAGATCCAGTAGAAATCCAGAGGACTATCAATACCTACTTCGAGAACTCATACTTTAACAAATTGGAAAACACAGAAGAAATGGACATATTCCTAGAAATATATGAATTACCAAAGTTGAACAAAGATATAAAAATTCTAAACATCCCAATTACAATCAGTGAAATTGAAAACATAATTAAAAATTTACCAACCCGGGGATTTAGCTCAGTGGTTCCGGCGCCTGCCTCACAAGCACAAGGTCCTGAGATCGATCCCCAGTACCAAAAGAAAAAAAAAAATTACCAACAAAGAAAAGTCCGGGTCCTGATGGCTGCGCTGCTGAATTCTACAAGACATTTAGAAAAGAACTATGGCCACTACTCTTTAAAGTTTTCAATGAAATTCAAAGGGAAGCAATACTTCCAAATTCATTCCTGGAAGCAAGTGTTACTTTGATTCCAAAACCAGGGAAAGACACAACCCAAAAAGAGAACTACAGG